TACATTCGGAGGGCATTTGCCTTGCACGCAGCTGACCCAGGTTCAATCCCCGGCATCCCATATGGTCCCCGAAGCACCACCAGAATAATTCCTGAGTGCAGAGCCAGGGGTATCCCCTGAGCCTCGCCGGGTGGGAGTTGTTAGAGGTGTCTCTGTAGTAATACGCCGTTTTTCAAAATGAATGTTTTGTTTGGGTGCTCGGGGCTGGGCAGGGCCAGGCAGGAGCCGGCTTAGCTGTCCGCAGGCAGACACAGTTCCCGCTCTGAACAGTCACCTGTGCCCCTGAGCAGTTTGAAAGAGGCCCCCCTAATGCTTTCCTTCCACTGAATCTTCCTCTCTGCTCTGCTCCAATGCGGAGTTTCTGGTCCTTTTCTGAGGACTCTTTGGACATCCCGACCAGGATATTTTGGACTGAAGTGTGAGGCAGCACCCCAGACTTGGCAGAGACATCCTACGGGATCTTTGGGGATGTTATGCTCAATCTGGGCCAGGCTCTCTGGGAGGTCTCCCTCTCTACCCTGCCCTCAGTCTGCACCCCTCGTCCTCATGCCTCTGGGGTGCACGCCTGTTGGCCGCTGCCTTAGACAGGGTCGAAGATTCCACAATGAGGGGCTGGAGCAGTAGCACAGCAGGTAGGGCGTTTGCCTTGCATGCGGCCGACGCTGGTTCGATTCCCAGCATTCCATATGGTCCCCCGAGCACCACTAGGAGTAGTTCCTGAGTGCATGAGCCAGGAGTAACCCCAGTGCATTGCCAGGTGTGTCCCAAAAAGAAAAAAAATATAAAGAGAGTCCTGCGATGGGCACCAGCAGTGCCGCCCCATCAGGTGGAGTGCAGGTGAAGCGTGTTGCGTGATTTTTCTCCTCTGCTCTCCCCACTTGCTGGATGAAGGGATTGAGGCACAGGAGCGATCTTGAGGCCCCGCTGGGGACCGTGTGTGCTCTGTCAGCACTGCTGAACCATCCGCCTGGGGGGCGCGTGCGTGCTCTTTGCTCTTTCTGGGCCAAAGATGTTTCTTTTTGTCTGTGTTAAATGGACCTTGTGGCCCTTCTCCGAGACAGTGGCTGCCCTCCTGCTGTCCCCTGTGACACTCGCTACTGTATGTGGGAGAGGCTGCCTGCCCTTCTACAAGCCCAGAGTGTTCTGCTGTGTGCTCACGCGGGCAGGCGGAGGCCAGCCTTTCCTCGCCCGCCCAGCAATGCTCTCCCCCAGTAGAGGTGCTGCCTTGGGGCCTCGGTGCTGACTCACAGAGCCTGTGCCCACGCGCCTGGCCCTCTCCCACAGGAGTGCTACTAGGACAGCGACCAGACGAGCCTGTTCCACGCGGCCAAGGGCCTGATGACGCTGCAGGCCTGTGCGGGACCATCCTGTAGATCTTCTGCAGTGGCAAGTGCGCCAGGGTGAGTCGGGGCAGGGAGGGAGGCCTCTCTCCTGCGGGTGGGGTTTGGGGCTCCACCTCACAGTGCTCTTGGCTCTGTGCTGGGGCCACCAAACCAAGGCTGTCTGCGTTCAAGGCTTGATCCCTGACCCCTCTGCTGCCTCCCAGCCCTCTTTCCTTTTCTCTTTTCTGTTCTTTATCTTTTCTTTTCCATCCCTAGTCTCCCTCCCTCTCTCGCCCTCTCCCTCCTCCCGCCCTCTCCATACCCTGCAGTGCTCGGGGCTCACTCCTGGCAGGGTTTGAGGGATCGTACGTGGTGCCAGGAATTGAACCTGTGTCAGCCACCTGCAAGGCAAGCATCCTACCCACCATACTGTCTCGGGCCTATCTTGTTTTATTTTATTGTTCCATTTTTTTCCGCCTTATTTTTAAATTTTGGATTGCCGGGGTCTTTTTAGCTTCATTTTAAAATCCGCCCATTGCTAAAAAGGCTCTCCCTGACTCTGTACTTTGTTCCCAGCAAGTGGCCAATATGATGATGAGGATGAAGAGAGAGTTTACAGAAAGTCAGAATTCAATATTTCCTGTTTTTGATAACCTCTTGTTGCTTGATTGAAATGTGGATTCATTAACGCCCCTTGCGACTCAGCTGACATACGAAGGACTCGTCGATGAAATTTATGGCTTCCAGAACAGTAAGTGAAGCGACATCATTTACTAATAGGTTAGCTGAGTAAAATCAATCTCAAAAGTGTCTGTTTTTAAAGGTGTGGCATTTGTGTATAAGTCAGAATACTTGAAAATGTCAGGCGCTGACTTTCAGCCCAAGGTTAAAGCAAGCTCGAGCCAGGACACCATAGGGGAAACCGAGGCAAAGGGCCTTGTACAGAGGGCCATGCGGTGTGAAGCCCCGCTGCTCGGGCCGCCCAGGGAGGCGTAAAGAATAGAGCGTTTCTGAGGGGTGCCTGGGTCTGAGGTCAGGGGACTTTGGCCCCGGGTGTTAGATTCTGTAGCATTTCAGATCTGAGTGGGGGCTAGGAAAGCTCACGGGGCTAGTGCCAGGCACACAGCCAGCGCTCGTTGCCATCCGCGCTCCTGCCTCGTCCAGTGAGCACTGAGCCGGGAGTATCTCCTGCTGGGATACAGTCTGAGAAGTTTCCCACAGTCTGATTCGTGTCTTTTCTTCAGAACAGGGAGCCCTAGGCCGCAAGAGGGGTAACTCCAGCGCCTTCAGGAGTGGCCCTGGCCGGGGGCTGGGGAAACAGCCCTGGGGATAGAGCCCCGGTCTGGAAGGACGGGGATGCAGCTAACTGCATGGGGTCTCTCTGGGGACACAGAGCCTTGCAGCTGCTGAGTGCTGGCCGAGTCCAGACAGTGCTGTCTATCCAGTGTGCCAAGCTGGTTATCGCAGAGTGGATTGCGATGGCGTGTGTGTGTGTGTGTGTGTGTGTGTTCGTGTGTGTGTGTGTGTGTGTGTGTGTGTATGTCACTGCAGTGGTGAATGCGTGGCTCAGTGACAGCGGCCACGGAAGCAGAACAGGACCACACATGGAGGCATTTCCACACAACAAAGCGTTTTCCTGCTCTTTAATGATTATGGGGGTGTTTCGGTTTATTTTTTACCAGTTGTTCCAAAGGATAACTTCTTAAGTTGCTTCCTTTTGTGGGGACAGACGTAAGCAGTGCCCCAGGGGCCGTGGGGCTGATCTTGGTGATTTTCTGCTCTGTGGGGCCAGTCTGTGGCCCTGGGGCCACCGGGGCTGTGCCTGGCAGCGGCTGGGGGTGATGCCACACACACAGCCCCTCCCCAGACTCCTGCTCCGAGCTCTCACTGGCACGGGAGCACCCCGTGCGAGGGGTCCCCACCTCCTGGTGATTCTGCAAGTCCCTCGATGGATCTGGCAGAGGTGCTGGGGTTGGAGGTGCAGAGGTGTGAGAGATGGGGCTCGTGGGGTGCCTCCGGGGGGAAGGAGTTCCGGGATCTCACAGTCTCTTCACATCACACACTTACTTCTGATCAAACATTTAATTAAGGGAGAGAGCTGAAGTGATAGTACAGCGGGTAGGGCGCTTGCCTTGCACACGGCTCAGCCCGGGTTCGATTCCCAGCATCACATATGGTGCCCTGAGCACCGCCAGAAGTAATTCCTGAGTGCAGAGCCAGGAGTAACTCCTGTACATTGTTGGGTGTGACCCCCCCCCCCAAAAGAAACCATTAAGAGAAATCTGAAAAACAAGGGGAAATTGGGCTTCTCCATAACCCCCCAGCTCTGCGCCTGTGGCTGGACCGAGGGCGATGGCAGGCCCGTGCAGGAGCTGCGTGCAGGCTGCCTGGGCCAGCAGCTGCCCCTCTGCTTTGAGCTGGAATGCGAGGTCTTGCCGACCTCGTGTATCTCAGCATGTGCTCAGGCCCCGGGTCCCGCGGCTACCATGGTGTGCTGTCTCCAGACGCTGGTGCCCGGGCTGTTCTGAGGGGCTTAGGATTTGGAAAGCATCCGAGAAGTATTTTTCTTCCGTCGGTCACTTTCTCTCCCACATTTTCAGATGCAGGATTTCTTCTTGTTGCTTTATGATTCTCAGCACCCACCCCACAGTGCTCAGGTCTCACACGGGGCAGTGCTCAGAGGAACAGACAGCTGGACTTGAGCGTGCGCTGCCCCCGATGACCCGTCTCTCTGGACCCACAGCAGTGGAGCTGATTGTGTGTAGACACGTCGGGATTTGTGTTGAAAGGGGAGGAGATATTTTTTTGAAAGGAACCAACTTGGAGCTAGAGGCAGTGCAGCAGTTAGGGTGAGTTTGGTCCCCAGGACCGCATATGGTTCCCCCAGTCACTGCCAAGAATTAGCCCAGAGCACAGATCCAGGAATAAGCCTTGAGCACTGACAGGTTTGGCCCAAAAAGCAGAGAAAGGAAACAGAAAGGAAAGAAGCCATCGGAGCTGTCTCCCGCCCTCAAGCACACTTCCATGCTGAGATGATTCCTGGGATCTTGTTTTTTTTTTTTTTCTTTTTCTTTTTCTTTTTCTTTTTCGGAGAGTATCTTCCCTGCATGGCAAAGCCTGGCAAGCTACCCATGACGTGTTCTATATGGCAAACAAAGTAACAAGTCTCAAAATGGAGACGTTACTGGGCCCGCTTGAGCAAAATCGATGAACAATGGGAGGACAGTGACAGGGATCACACTTGGCAATGCACAGGGGTTACTCCTGGCGCTGCACTCAGGAGTTACTCCTGGCGGTGCTCAGGAGGGCATATGGGATGCTGGGAATCGAACCTGGGTCTGCCCTGTGCAAGGCAAACACCCTCCCTGCTGTGCTATCACTCCTGCCCCATCCTGGGCTCCTCTTGGCTTGTTGAAATGGCGGTATAGACGGCATGCACTTGCACGCGCCAGCAGGACAGACAGTGGGCCGCCCTGGGGCATGTTTCCTTGGGTGGCCCCATCCTGAGGTCGGTTCGGGCTGGCAGTGGCAGGAGGCGTCCCACAGACCAGGCCAGGGAAGCCGTGCGTGAAAAGCGTGAGTGTCCTACGCAGGTGTGCATCTAGTGACTCAAAGCCCAGTGCTCTCCCCTGACAGGAAATCTCTGGAGTCTCACTTGGGGTGTCCCCTCCCGTGCAGGTCATGTAAAGCTGCCACCCGAGAAATTCGTCCCGAAGAGGCAGGGTGATGGACAGGACCTGCCCACAGGGGCCAAGAAGCTGCCGCTGGACTCAGCCGAGGAGCTCTACGCCGAGATCCGAGACTGCAACTTCAACGCCGTGGGCGCCGTGCTCAGCAAGAAGGCCAAGGTCATCTTGGCCGCCTTTGAGCTGACTGGGGCCTGGGGCCAGGCGGCAGGCGGGCTGTGCGCGCCCGGGGAAAGGTGGTGCCAGGCCCTCTCCTTGTGTCAGGTCCTTTGCCAGTCATCGTCTGCACTCCCTGTCCCTCCCTTCTTCCTCCCAGCCGCTGGAAATAGGGAAAATTGGGCATGGCTGGAGTTCTGGCAGGCCGAGTGAGACCCCCCACCCCCCAAGTGGGTAATCACCATCTAGAGTGTGCGACCCTCAGCCTCAGCGAGAAAGGGAGGGAAAGGGAAAATAAATACTGGAATGAAGTGGAAGATGCAAGGGGGAAACACATCGGCTTGATAATGTCTTCTAAAAACAGCGTACCAGGGCCAGAGAGATAGTAAGGTGGGTAGGGCACTTGCCTTGCCCCTGGCAGACCCGGGTTCATTCCCAAGCACCCTATACGGGCTCCCAATCCCTGCCAGGTGTCACCCCCAGTGCCAAGCCAGGGAGTCAGCCGGAACCTGTGCATTGCCCCAATGATCCCGGTGCCTGTCTGCGCCCTCTGCACCCTCTACCATTGGAAGCTTGTGCAGGTATGTTTGAGATGCGACCGCGTTTCCCTGCTTTCGTGGGCATGTGAGTTGATTTGTGGTACTGTTGCTGCTGGTCTCAAGACAGGACCTTTCTAGAACGCAGGTGCATCACCAGATTGCCGGGCACCTTTTCCCCTCAGCATGTTGGTCTCAGCAGCACCTTAAGAGAAAGAACCCGGGCCTCGCTTAGGTTCTGGGCTGCTGTCACCTAGCTCCCTGTGGATTTGCCCATGTCTCTGGGCTTCGGCCTGTGGAATCCAGAACTTTCCTGGGCTCCCCCGATGGTCTCTCCCCACCCCAGTCATTGAGCAGGGAGGTGCTTGCATGGCCTTGTGTGGTGACAAGACAAGGGCCTGCCTGCCCCTGTGTGGTGACAGGACATGGGCCTGCCTGCCCCTGTGTGGTGACAGGACAGGGGCCTGCCCGGCCCTGTGTGGTGACAGGACTCGGGGTTCACCTTCCATGCGAGTCATTGCAGGTCTTGGAGAGGCCTCTCTGCTCCTTCTTTTCCCAGTCAGCAGTGCAGAAGCGTTGAGGAAGCGGCTTGGTCACCCCAGCTGAGGGTAGGGGCTGTCTCGATCACACCCACGGTCGCTCCTGGTCTTGCGTGGGTGGGGTGGGGCCATCCCAACAGACAGACCCAAGACAGGTCGGAACCAAGGGCCCCACATCCCCCCGTGGATGCTGCATTCTCGTCTTCTCTCCCGCCCTGAGCCACGATGGCCCCCGTGCCCGCATCCCGGCGGGGGAAGCCACGGCTCTGCTCACCTGAGCTGCTCGCAGGGGCCCTCACTCCAGGTAGTCTGCTCAAGGGACCCCAGAACTTGGGCACCCTGGCGTGCGTCATGTGAGCAGTCAGATTGGGCTCAAGGCGCTGGGGGGCTCGCCCCGCCCGGGTGGAGATTGCCAAGGGCCCCGGCGCCCTCACCAAGGTCCATCTCTGAGGCTTCCTCGTGTGAATATGAGGGATCTTCCAGCAGTCACAGGACGGAGTCTGCTACTCGTGTCCGACCCCACCCCCTCCCGCACACACACACAGAAACTGATTTTTATGTAACTTCCTCATAGAACGGTGTGCGGTGCTGCCCGAGGGGAACAAGGGGTCCTCAGTGTCCTAAACGGGGAAAATGACCCAAATTGAGGTGCTTCCTGTGTGCAAGTGTCCCATCACGCCACAGCTCCCAGGGCTGGTGTTTCCCTGTCCAGAAGACGCTCGACAGACGTGAGCCAAAGCTCTAGCTGGGAGGAAGCATTTGTACCGCGGGATGAAGTAGAACTGCCTTTGAGTCAAGCTGACATTTTCAAGAAATACAAAACAGACTTTTTCCCCCCATTTTTAGTACCAGAGCAGATAACCCCCAAGGTTATTTGCTTCCCTGAAAGATATTTAGCTTGCCCTTTCAAAGTTCATTTAGAGCAGATCTTGGCGTTCAATCCGAGTTGGATGCTAACCGAGGTCAAAGTGTTTGCTTATTTGTGGCCTTCTTTGTCTCTTAAGAGGAACCGTAGTTAGAGGCCACCAGAGAAAACAAAACACAAGCACCCGCTTCCTCCCAGCTTGGTTCCTCTGTTCTCAACCCCCGGCCATTTGTCTATGCATCTTCCCCAGAACAGGCGGGGGACAGAGGTAGAGGGAAGGTCTGAGAAGCCCCTGCATGGTGCTCCCCGAGTAGTGCTCCCCATCTTTGTGGCTTCTGTTGAGGTTCTGAAATGAGTCATCAGGTGCTAGTGACAAATGTCTCATGTACAGCGTGACACAAAGATGGAGTTTGTGCCATCAGTTCCCATGGTGGGAGAAGGTCGGGTTTTGGGGGTCAGTGGCAGGAGGATGTGACCCATAGCATGTCAGCTTTATCTCGGGTGGGGAAAAATGGGTCGTTTGGGAAGAAGTGTGCTTGGGGTACAGATTTGCTGTGTTTTTCTGGATTTCTCTCTCTCTCTCTCTCTCTTTCTTTTTTTTTATGTAGGAGTTCTACTATTTATCCAGCCAATGATTAGCTGATTGAATTGTGCATGAACTCCACCTTACTTTTTTTTTCACTTTTTATGATTTTATTTATTGAATCACCGTGAGAGCAGTTACAAAGCTTTTAGGTCTAAGTCTCGGTCATACAATGAAACACCCGTACCTTCACCAGTGCCCATTCTCCACCCCCAACAACCCCAGTATATCCCCATCCCACACCCACCCCCTACCAGTGGGGCAGATGATTTCCACATTACTCTCTCTCTACTTTGATCACATTCAATATTTTGACACCAGACCCACCATTATTCTTTGAGATTTTGCCTCAACACTCAGATCTGCTGAAAAGGCAACAGGAGACAATTTGTTTCCTATTTCTGGTTATGAATAACACATGATGTTTCATGGCTGCAGTACTGGCCGCACAATTTTGAAATTCCGAAATTTGAACACTTAAATCTGGAGGGATTTCTGCCAAAACCTGCTGGGTTCCGAGATTTGCTCCTGAGTCTCTGGGATCATGGTCGTTAAGCAGCTTGATTAGGAGCCAGAAAGGCCATTTGTGGACAATGACTTGGGGTCTCTTGGGGACGGACGGGGAGGACAGGACTGGCTCCACCCCCATCCTGTGAGGCCCAACAAGTTTTGTCACTGAGGTCCCAAGCCTGACTGTCCAGTGGTCTCTGGAGGATGGCGGCCACCAGGCCACCAGTGGGAACAGGCCAAGGCATGAAACTGTGGGCCCAGCACAGCAGGGACCAGACGCATTTCAGCCAAAAGCCACTGGGTTTCGAGATTTGTTTCTGAGTCTCTGGGATCATGGCCATTAAGCAGTTCTATCAGGACGCAGAGAGGCCATGCCTCCAATGATCTAGCTGAACCGGAGGTGATTTGTGGGTGTGTTTCCCACATACCTAACTTTTCGCCGTTTACTTTCTTGGTAAACTTTGCCCCAAGTTTTTGGGGTCTAGTCAAAGGCACAACAGCAATTTGGGGGTATCTGCAAGTGTGGAGGCGCCATCAGGCTGCTGATGGACTCGCCTCACAGGTACAGTGTTTTTTGTTTGTTTGTTTGTGTTTTTATGTAGGAGTACTGCTATTTATTCAGTCACTGATTAGCTGATTGAATTGGGCATGAACTCCACTGTAAAAAACTACGCACGCTGAAGGTTGTGTGTTCGTGGGCTTTCTGGTCGGCTCTATCTCACCGCCCGCGTTCGGTGCCCTAGAGCCACTGTGTGTGGCCTGCATCGGGACGGCTGTTGGCCAAGGGCAGATGAAGGAAGAGATGAGGGCCAGACTGGTTGATCTTTGTAGCAGTTTATTACAAGGAAATTTATCCCATAGAAGAAATTTATGTTCTGGAGGGCCTAGATTCTCTCAAGCACAAGTTCTCCTTGCTAGTCTCTTGGTAGTCCATCTTTCAGCCCAGCTCTTTGATTCTCCAGCTCCCTTCTAGTCTGGGCTGACACTCCACCCAGTCAGGTAGCCATATCAACATAAGAAAGTCCTTCCTGACTGCTCAAGGGCAAGATACCTCTTAAGGTGTTTTTCTCTTTTCCTTAGTCCAATAAACTATCAACTATTCCTGAGGTTGTGCAGGAAGGACAGAACAGTGTTATCCTACATCTCCCACTTTTTCTTTTTACAAAAAAACACAAAATTTGAAACAGGAAAAATTACTAGCTATTTTTGTGTGGACACAGTAAGAGATAACATTGAGACTTGTAGGGCAGCTCTCCTGGGAACATCTTGCCACAAACTCAGACTACAGTGCTCAGGCCAGATTAATTATTCCTAGCCCTAGCAAGGTCCAAATCTAGTTATTACTTTTTGGATCATGACAGCATTTGTCCATGACCAAGCTCTTAACTTATAGTTAAGCATTATGGCACCTTGGCCAGGCCCATCTCAATGCCAGGGTAGCACATAGCTTACGGCTTGCCCTGGGTCCATCCAGTCCCTCGTCGGGACCTTGCCTTTAGGGGTGCTAGGAAGTGAGGGCAATTGAGGCTTAAGTTGAGAAAGCAGATGCCCAGGAATGAAATATCAAGGAGAGTCACATTACAAAAGCATGTCTTCTTGTGTCCATACAAAAAGAACACTGCTTTGAATAAACTATGCAAAGGACTTAGGGAGAAGAGAAAAACAATAATTTACAAGTCAACAGAACACAAAGAAAGTTACAAATAAACACAGAGAAATGGGAGCACTGTAATGGGAGCAACCCAATAAACCTGAACCCATCTCCCCTTTTTTCTTTTTACAAAAACACAAAATTTGAAACAAAGGAACAATTCCAAATACAGAACAGTCTCATTAGTTGTACCAAGATTTCAGTCCAATCCTGGACCTAGAGCAGTGCTTCTGGTAAAGTGTTCAATTGTCCTGCACTGTCCAGGGGTGATTAGAATCACCAATGATGAGAGTCATTTAGTCCCATTCTGAAGAAACAAAGTGTCTGGATCAAAACTGAAGAGTTGTTCCTGTAACAGCATCAGGAGTGGTTGCAGCAATGATTCCCAGGGGAGCAGCTATTAGGAGTCCAATGAATTTCAGGAAGCACTGGATCAGCCGGGGAGCACTGGAACAGGAGCATCACCACTTCTGGCAGGAGTACTTCAGTAGGGGAATGCAGCCATTCTCCGGTCAGGTTCATCAGCAGTCATAGATGTGCAACCTAGCTTATGTTTGAGAAAAAACACTTTTTTAAAAGTTATCAGAGGCTTTAACCATCAGGGTTTGGTCTCCGTGCCTGTGAGTAGAAAGACAGAGGGAAGCTTCAATACAGATGGATAGCCTAGAGAGAAATGAAAAGTGTTCCTGTTAAAAGTCATTCCTTTCTCCTTCAGGAATCTGTGAATTCCAAGAAAGGGGTAAAAGTAAAGTATTGTTAATTCAAAATGTGGAGGCTTGGCATTGTCCAATCCGCAACCTGTAAAAGAGAGGTATAAGGAATGCTTTAATGTGAACTCATGATGTGTTAAAAAAGCTAGAGGCCTTGCTGGAGGTCCTCTGATGCAGGTTCCTCTCCTTTCCTTTGTGACTTCTAGCTGAAATCAGTTTGGAGATGGTTTGTGGCTGGAATTTGAAGGGTTGTGAGTCTCTGCCAGTCTGAGATCCAACTCAGGCAGATGAATTCAACTTCTGATGAGACATAATGGGATCCAAAGTTTCTCAGTGGGGTTATCATCTGTTGAAACAAAAGCATAGCCTTTTTCTCGAATGAGGAGTTTCCCTGCTACATTCAGTTGAGAAAATACCTCCTTTTTTTGTTTTTTATTAAACATGCCATATGTCCACTGAATATGGAGAGGTGGTGTGTTTAAAGCCACAGCATTCTCTTAAAAGTCAAACTGCTTCTCCCCAAAAGTAGCACCTACAGAGCCTTGTGGGATTGGTCCCTTTATACCAGAATTTAATTTGTAGTAAAACTGGGTAAGGGTTATAGTAACCGTTATCAGGGTAGAGAATATTCAGGGCTGCGCTTCCTGACATTATTGGCTGCAGGGATTATACTGATTGGAGCTCTGAAACTCCACTCTGGGGAGAGGGGCTGCAGCTGGGAACATCCCCTGATACTGCGGGACCTGGGGCTGGTGCCCTTGCAGGTTTCCCGAATTGGGGTCAACAGCTGCATCAAAATTGAAGCGACAATCTCTGGCCCACTGATTTCCTCTCTTACACCTGGGACAGGGCCCGGGAGGTGCAAGTCTGGCTCTGCAGTCTCTGGCCCAGTAGTTTCCCCTCTTATACCTGGGAAAGGGCCCAGGAGGTGCTCTCACAGTAGTATGTTTGGGAGGTGCCCTGCAGTCCTTACGAAAATGGCCTGGTTTTCCACAATGAAAACATCTTTTCTGAGCTTGTCTCTGTACAGTATAGGCCTCAAAAGCCTTCATCTGCACCTTTTAACAGAACCAACATTTCTGCATGCTTTCAAATACCCCATTACATCTTCCTTCTCTTTGATAGGGCTCA